GCTGATATTCGAATCAAGAACTTCCCGTTTACAAGTCCAGAGCAATAATGTTACACCGAGGGCGGTGGTGAATGTTAGGCAACAGCAATTTACTGTCAGAATCAAACGAAACGTATAAATACTGAATGTTAAAAGCAAACGGAGCGTATGGTTACTACTGTTCTTTCAGTGTTCATAACGTTTATTCAGTAACTTTCAATTGTAGTCTGTATAACTTGAAGTTATTTATTTTGTAGAAAAAGTAAAACCGCACTTAATCTTGAAGTGAGGTGCGTGTAAATGTTGTGAAAGTAATAAAAGGAACAAGTCAAGTGACTTGCGAAAGTAAGTAAGGATGCCTGGGCTCGAGTGACCTCGAGAAAGTTTAATCACGTTAAACCTGAGTAGGTCACTTAAAATGATTTGCAGTGCAAATCGCGTTCAGTTTATATATTAGAATGCTAATGTGGACTTCTTCACTCTCTCTCTCACACACACACACACGCGCACACTCACACACACACTGACACTCACACACACACTCACACACTCACACTAACACTCACACTCACACACACACACACAGACACATATATATTAGTAGTATGGGAGTGCACTGAGATCATGAAAAATACCAATCTTGAGATTCTGACGCATTTATGTTCTCCAGTATCTCTGAATAACGCAATGATACCAGAGCAGGTTATTCTACACCTTTGTTCCGTTTTTTCTTCCTAATCATTATACAAGTGCTCTATACTCGCCTGTCACCACCTCCTGCGGCGTGAGTTGGCCGTGACCAGGCAGCACATTATCACATTCACTGTCGTTACCTTTGTGACTTCATCTGTGTTCGGCACTTCGCTGCTTACAGAGCGAGAAATTTTAAGGTAGCGTCGGGCATTTAGAGAAGATGGAAAATGTTTGTTTTATTGATTTGTTGCTTCATCCTCCTCCTTCTCCTCCTCCTTCTTCTTCTCCTTCTTCTCCTTCAGCCTTGCAGATTGGGCCCTCTCAACTGTTCTCTATCGGAATTAATTTTGAAAGTAAGCTTAAGAATCTCTTAGACATTTGGTAAGACCTCTTAGATTGAGGATCGGCCCATCGCAAATCCTCTAATAACAGAGGACAACACAAACACAGAAAGAACGCTAACATCCTTACCCCAGTTGGGATTCCAACCCACGATCCCAACATTGCAGGTGCTGAAGATGTTAGACCGCGCGGCCACCGTGATCGGCAATTGCTTCAGCCATCGAGACCAAAGGATAATTATTCTGAACGAGATGGAAAAGCTGAGAGAAGTATCCTACCAATATATAAATCGAAATATTATGGCCTGCTGCCTGTGTGTGCGTCTCTCCGTCTCTTTCTACGGAACAATGGGGTCACCCCCCCTCAAAGGAAGCCCATCAGAATTAAACACTGCAGTGTTTCCAGATGTTCTGATAGATTGCAATGCAAATGCCCCACTTCTATATGCGCTCGTTATGCAACACGTGCCTCACAGCAACAGATTATGCAAATGTCTGCCTCCCATTAGCATTGAATGCCCTGCGTCCCTCATCATCTTCACGTCCAGAGATTCCTCTGTCTTGTTCTTCAAACTCATTTCAACCTGTGTTGCCACATAACGCAACTCAGTGCCATAGGAAGCCTTGCGTTGCCACCCATAATTGAGTAGCCTTTTACGGGGTGTACGGTTATTACACGCCGTCACGACGATATCTTCTGGGATGTGACGCCGTGTGGACTACACGGAGTAGAATGAGAGGGAGAATAATGAATAACGAAACGGGAATGATTTGGAAAGAAGTGGCCGTGGCCTAATCGAGGTACTATCCCAGCATTTATCTGCGGGGACTGAGCAAAGCCACGAAACCCTCGGTCACAATAGTAAAATGTTATGGCCGAAATTCGAACAGAGCACCTTCTGTATACAGGATAAAAGCATTAGTGCTTGACCGAACATGCTCCGTGCGTACGTCTTCAGGACAGGATTCTGGAAGTGCGAGAAAGGGTCAGTAAATAGGTCACAAATGGAAGCACTCGTGAAATAGCTGTAATCGACGTAATAGGTTTTCAGTATGTATCACTAGGTAGCAGCACAGTACAGCTTTATGAGAGTCTAGGTAGAAAACACGCATGCGTACCTTCAGAGGCTGATTTCAGTAGTCATAGTGGCCACCGTGCTTCAGTTGTACACTACCAAAGAGCAGCGTTCTGTTGTGCGTCTTCTGTGGGGAAAAGAACTCAATGCAAAGGATACTTATAAAGAAGTGTTTCTTGTTTACGGTGGGAAGTGTTTATCGGTTCACAACTGAGTCGAGAAATTCTCTCAAGGACATTCGAAAGTCGCAGATGATGAAACGGAGGTGCGGAAGTGGCTGAGACAGCAGTCAAAAACTTCTATGCTGCGGGTGTCGTCGCATTGGTAAAGCGATGAGACAAGTGTATCAATGTTGGCGGAGGTTATGTCGAGAAATACATGTTTCCTTCCAGGTTCGAATATTAACTGTTTTACGTTTTATATCCATCTGTGACCTATTTACTGTCCCTTCCTCGTATATAAAATTATATGACTGTTAACGCGGTTATTGATATATAAAATTTTATTTACTGATGCTGTTCTCTTGCCTTTTATTTTCAAGACCGACCCCTCCTCCTTCAAAGAGAAGACACAATTTCGAAATGCGTGCATGTCTAAGGGATAATAAAAATCTTGGTCATGGATCTGAAGCCAGAAGTGACTGTGCTGGCGAAGGCCAGCAGTAATTTAAACTACCGACCGAGAGCCAACAGTTGGAACAATGAGTTAGTTGTGACACAGTCGCTAGCCGGTAGGAACGTGAGCACGGAAGCAGAAGGCACTGTTAGGATCCGTCACCAGGCAACTACTGGTGTAGATATAGCAAACTGAGAAGACTTTATGTGTGCTGTAGTTACAGTGATAATTGGAGTGTATAACTCAGTGAGACTGCCTGTTATTTGTAGTCACGTTATGTAAGCGTTCAATAAATCTAATTACCAATCGAAACCCCGTATATAGTCACTCACACTCGTTGATATTTGATTATGTTCTGCTACATAATCTGATACATGTTTGCCATACGGTCACTACGTTACTCTAGCCCTAGGTAGGGTATCGGCAGGCTAAGACCGCACTGCACTTTCTTAGCTACAATTCATTGTTCCAGTTACTTTGGATGGTGACGAAGTCGACGGTGGAGAACTGAAGTTCTCGAAGGTCCATGGTTCTCGGCATAGCTTCCCCTGTCAACTTCTCTCGAATTTTTATCAAGATCCTCACGTGTTTACCGACTCCGAGACATTTATCGTATAGTAGCCCCAAATTAAATATTCAGTACTGTCCCGGTTGTTCCTGGTTGCAGTAAATGTTCGCATACCCAACTCAGCAATATTGGATTTGGCGGGCGATGTTGTGTGCTAATGCTAATGCTAGAGGGGTGGGACTAAGTCCCTTGTGCTGCGGCCACTTCTGGCCTATTGTACCAGCCCCAGATGATAGGTGAGGGTGATTGTGGAGCAATTGGTGGAATGAAGATTGGCAGGGGAAACCGAAGTACTCGGAGGAAGCCTTCCCCAGCGCCACTTTGTCCACCACAAATCCCACTTGACCAGACCCGGGATCGAATCCGGACCGTCGCGGTGAGAAGCCAGAGACTAACCGCTTGAGCTATGGAGCGGCCTAAGCTACATACCTAAGTCACAGCACTTCTTTCTGCAGTCTCTTCCGTCTACTTCCAAATCAATATCTCTACTTCTAAAATTCTACCGTCATGGCCCTAAGCAGATAACATCTAGACTATATATCCTCGAACGGCAGGCTGATTGACGAATGATTAATTACAGAGGATTTTGAATCAAACGGTTATGTTACAGTCTATTAACTACCACGGCATACTCGTATGCTTGCGGGGACTGTGTAAAACCACGTGGAAACTCAGCCAGGATCTGATTTCTTCTCGGTCTGTTGTATGTCATGAGACAGAACGAAGAAAGTTACAAATCGAAGTTGAAGCCTAACCCGGGACCTCCACGAAGTGCGGCTAAATTGGCGAGCTTTGGTGGTTCAAGCTAACATATTCACAGGCTGTACAGTAATCCACACCGTTGTGATCGACCACAGTTTTCTTTCGATTACCTCGAAGCAAATATCGGTGTAGTACATCACACTGTGCTAGAGACCGCTAGAGACGCTTCCTACCAGTCAGCCATGCGTTTCTACGCCATGCTCGTTTAATCTGAGCTGCTGAGAGCATCGTTAAATGAGTCATAAGTAATAAGCAAATATGAGACGTACGTGGCGCATTAGAAAATTTTAGGAAGATAACAACCAGTTAACGAACCTTTTGTCGTCTCAGCTGCTGTCCAAAAGCATAAAAACTAGAATATACAAAAGTATAATTTATCTGCAGTTCTGTATGGGTGCGAAATTTGGTCTGAGACATTAAGAGAGAAACATAGACTGAGGGTGTTTCAGAACAGGATGCTGAGGCGAATATTTGAATCGAAGTGACAGAAGGTTGGAGAAAACTACATAATGAGGAGCTTCATGACCTGCCCTCTTCGCCAAGTGTAGTTAGAATGATCAAGTCGAGGAGGATGAGATAGTAGGGCATCTAGCAATATTGGGGCGAAGAGAAATGCATGTAGAATATTTGTGGAAAGCCAGAAAGAAAGAGGCCACTAGGAAGACCAATTCATAGGTGAGTGAATAATATTAAAATGGATAGGATGGGGAAGTATTGACTGGGTTGATCTGGCTCAGGACAAGGACCAGTGGAGAGCTCTTGTGAACACGATAATGTTGGAAAGTTCTTGAATAGCTGCATAACTGGCGGCTTCTCAGCTCCATGAAGTTAGTTTAGTTCGTTTTAGTTAACAACCATTTAAAGTATTTTGTTAATAAGCACGGTTATATGTAATGGTATTACAGCCTTACGTTTGTCATAAGAGAGCGGATGTTTCATGTAATTTGTTTCTGTTTCCCAGGGGCGGCGATTATTGTCACTTGCTGCTGGTCAATAGACCCTAATTCAACGGACACCGACCTCACTGCATCAAAGGTAACTGAGAACTATTTTTCTGTCTTCCTACTTCAGTGCACAATTATGGACCAGCAATAAGACGGTCTTCTTCCGCGGCTGAGCAAACCAGGAGGAAGGCTACGAGATGGAAGGCACCGCGAACGAATCAAATAGGAATTCAAGTTTGATTTTGGGCCAAAACATTATGAACACTGTTGGAATGCTGTGTCGAATATATGAAAGCAATAATAATAATAATAATAATAATAA